TCTCCGGTAGGTTATTTTACCTCAGTATTTGGCCCTAGTACCACCACTGCTGGAATCCTGCATCCAGTTTTAGAGCCCACCATTCAAGAAGGCCACGGGTAACCTGGAGAGAGGTCAAAGAAGAGCCACAAAAATGAGCAAAGGATTGGAAAACGTGCTTCATAGTGACAGATACAAACTAAAAATGTGTAAATCTATCAAGGCTTTGTCTACCCTAGAATTTTTGTCGCAGGAGGAGGCTGCAGTTCCCAGAAGCAGCTGCATGGAGAGAGCAGGGACGGGGCTGTCAGCAGATGGGAGCTGGGACAGGAGCCCCCCTGTCAGGCAGAGCTGTGCACCCTCCCTTCGTGTGCTGCCCTCCATTGGTTTCAATGGGCTTTGGATCAGGCCCACGGCCATTCCCTGAGTGCCTAATTCCATGTTCCTTATAACAAGGTAGCTGCAACTTTCTTTCTTCGTCACTCTCCCAAGAGCATCATAGTTTTTCTGTGAGGAAAATTCTATTTCCCTCACCCCCAACTGCGCTGGTGCAGAAAGCACTCGACACCACAGACAGGAGCCGGCTATAAATGAGACGATTCCAACAGGCAGGGGAACTAGTGCACATGCAGCATGGGGCGGATGAGCCAGCCTGTTTCCCATCAGAGGGCAAAAGTATTTCTGATACTTCTAAGCTGCAACCATGAGCCTGGTTTTCCAACTGTTTAGCAGGTGCAATTTTCTTTCTCCATAATTGTAGCAACAATTTTGCAGAAAATTGTTAGCCACCATTGATTGTGGATGGAAAATGTTACCTGTGAAACTAGAGGCTCAGTTTGAAAATCAAACCCATTTGCCCACAAAGGAATATTTTTTTTAAATGTGCACTTTCATTATTAATGATCAAAGTCCGTATAGCAACATCCAATATTAAATCAGTCTTTTCACTGCAAAATGTATTGTGGATGGAAAATTTTACCTGAGAACTGGAGGCTCAGTTTGAAAATCAACCCCATTGGATTACAAAAGAATATTTTAAAAAGCATGTAAATTCATTATTAATTTTCACAGTCTATATAGCAACATCCTATATTAAATCAGCCTTTAATATGGCAAAATGCCATACAAGAGTCACCATTGCCCAGTGTTTCCTAAACTTCGGACAGCCGAGGAGACCTTGTTCAGAAAATTAAACCAAACCCGGCCTCTCCCCACTACTGCCATCTAGTGTTAAAGGCCCAGCCATATTTTAGATCTTCATAATATAAGTTCTCTTCTTTCTGACATTCTTTGACCTGGAAAATAGATCACAGCACTGACTTTTCAAACAGGGTCACTGGCATTTAGGTCAATCCCTACTTAACTGACTGGGACAGTTCACACTTCTCCAACTTATTATTTCCAGGTCTCTGCAAACTTAGACATCACTGTGTCATTAATTAACTTCAGGTCACATTCTGATGCATTACTCTGCAAGCGTAACAGCTAAACTTACTTTGAAAAAATGAAAGTTAATACCAGGGAATAGCTGGATGTCTGTATGTGCCCCCAGCACTCGTCCTTCATGCTCCTAATCAGAGGTTTTACACACACTTTGGGGGACTCCACCATAGACCAACACTTCTTTCAAGCTATGTCTACGCTGCAGGAATTTGTTGGCAGAGACAATGCAAATGAAGCACTCATTAGCCTTTCTCGCGCTCTCATTTGCATAATCTCTTCCAATCCGTTTTGCAGAAGAGGTTTTTGCAGGGAAAAATCGCAGTGTAGATGGGGCAAAAAACCCTTTTGCACAAAATACCTGCTTTTTTGAGGAATAAGAGTTCTTGCGCAAAAGGGTTTTTTTGTGCAAAATAGCCCCATCTACACTGCTTTTTTTGCACAAAAACCTCTTCCGCAAAAAGAGACTATGCAAATGAGAGCATGAGAAATGCTAATGAGCACTTCATTTGCATTGCCTCTGCCGACAAAGTCCTGCAGTATAGACGTAGCCTGTCAGTGACATGACATAATAAACCAACCTCACAACCACCAAAAAAGTCACATACTTCTAGTGATGGGGGAACCTCAGACAATGCAAACTATGGATGTTCACAGAGCAATGTGGATCACTCTGTCAACTGGGTGCAAACTAACTGAAAATGTGTGCATCTAGGAACAAGGAATGTAGGGCATTCTTCTAGGATGGGGTACTCTGTCCAAGAAGAAATGATTCTGACAAAGATTTGGGTGTCATTGTGGATAATCATCTGAACATGAGCTTCCGGCTTGATGTTGTGGCCCAAAGAGCTAATATGATCCTGGAATGGATAAACAGCAGAATCTCCAGTAGTTTATTTTACCTCAGTATTTGGCTCTAGTACAACCACTGCTGGAATCCTGCATCCAGTTTTAGAGCCCACCATTCAAGAAGGCCACGGGTAACCTGGAGAGAGGTCAAAGAAGAGCCACAAAAATGAGCAAAGGATTGGAAAACGTGCTTCATAGTGACAGATACAAACTAAAAATGTGTAAATCTATCAAGGCCTTGTCTACACTAGCATTTTTATTGGTAAAACTTTTGTCAGTCAGTGTTGTGGGAAAAAAAACCAATCCCTGATCGACCAAAGTTTCACCGACAGAAGTGATGGGGCTGTGTCAGTGGGATACACTCTCCCACCATTACATCTGTGGCCACTTGTTTGTAGGGTTACCAGGTAGGTTTAGAAAAAATACCGGACACACTTGATGGGGGGGGACCGGCCGGGAGGGAGGCGATCACTGCGATTTTCTGTGAGGAAAATTCTATTTCCCTCACCCCCAACTGCGCTGGTGCAGAAAGCACTCGACACCACAGACAGGAGCCGGCTATAAATGAGACGATTCCAACAGGCAGGGGAACTAGTGCACATGCAGCATGGGGCGGATGAGCCAGCCTGTTTCCCATCAGAGGGCAAAAGTATTTCTGATACTTCTAAGCTGCAACCATGAGCCTGGTTTTCCAACTGTTTAGCAGGTGCAATTTTCTTTCTCCATAATTGTAGCAACAATTTTGCAGAAAATTGTTAGCCACCATTGATTGTGGATGGAAAATGTTACCTGTGAAACTAGAGGCTCAGTTTGAAAATCAAACCCATTTGCCCACAAAGGAATATTTTTTTTAAATGTGCACTTTCATTATTAATGATCAAAGTCCGTATAGCAACATCCAATATTAAATCAGTCTTTTCACTGCAAAATGTATTGTGGATGGAAAATTTTACCTGAGAACTGGAGGCTCAGTTTGAAAATCAACCCCATTGGATTACAAAAGAATATTTTAAAAAGCATGTAAATTCATTATTAATTTTCACAGTCTATATAGCAACATCCTATATTAAATCAGCCTTTAATATGGCAAAATGCCATACAAGAGTCACCATTGCCCAGTGTTTCCAGACATTGCACGTGTTCAGTATTTTCTGGATTTTTTTACCGGACAGAGGACCCAAAAACCGGACTGTCCAGTAGAATACCGGACACCTGGCAACCCTAGGTTTACTTATGCCAGAAGGAGAGCTTTCTCCCCTCAGCATAGAGCCGCGGTTCTCAACCTTTTCCAGCTAGGGACCCATTTTGACAATTCAGGAAGACTTGGTGACCCAAGGCAATTCAAAAATGGGGGAAGGTGAAGGGCAGAGCCACCTGGGGAAACACTTGGCAACCCTTATGAAATGTAATGGCGACCCATATTTGGTTTGCGACCCATAGGTTGGGAAACTCTGGCATAGAGTGATTACGCAGGAAACGTGACAGCAGCAGAAACGCAGTGGTACCGCAGTGCTGCTGTAAGGCCCGTCGGGTAGACATAGCCTTGGTTTAACAAAGAAATTGTCTCAGAGGGGTAGCCATGTTAGTCTGTCACTTTAAAAACTTTTTTTAAGGTGGGTTTTGCCCACAAAAGCTCATGATACTACATATATTTTTGTTAGTCCTTGAGGTGCCACAGGAATACTCGTTTTTAAAGAAATTAAGGGGTGACTTGATTATAGCTTGTGAGTGTCTTTCTAGAGAATGCACATTTAGTCATTCTTCAGTCCAGCAGAGGAAGATCTAATGTGATCCAATGTCTGGAAGTTGAAGCAAGACAAATTCAGACTGGGAATCAGTGAGGGCAGTTAACTATTGGAACAATTTACCCAGCGTTGTTGTGGACTCTTTTGGCCTTGGATCTATGAATTGGAATGCAGGTGCCTAACTCCCATGGGACTAAGTAAGTAACGTGGCCAAGGACACACAGGTTACGTCTAGACTGGCATGATTTTCCGCAAATGTTTTTAATGGAAAAGTTTTCCCGTTAAAAGCATTTGCGGAAAAGAGAGTCTAGATTGGCACGGACGCTTTTCCGCAAAGAAAAGCATCCGTGCCAATCTAGATGCGCTTTTACGCAAAAAAGCCCCGATTGCCATTTTCGCGATCGGGGCTTTTTTGCGCAAAACAAATCTGAGCTGTCTACACTGGCCCTTTTGCACAAACGCTTTGCGCAAAAGGGAATGGGAGCAGTATAGTATTTCCGCAAGAAGAACTGATTCTGTACATTACAAAGTCAGTGTTCTTGCGGAAATTCAAGCGGCCAGTGTAGACTGCTGGCAAGTTTTTCCGCAAAAGCAGCTGCTTTTGCAGAAAATCTTGCCAGTCTAGACACAGCCACAATGCACTGAACCCAGATTTCCCAGGTCCTAGATTACAGAATAGAATTTCCAGGCTCCCACCTAGGCCTGGCCTGGGAATAGTTAACTTTGGGGTGTGTCCCATTCACCAGCCTGCATTTCCTTCCTTAGACTGAGACGGGCAGAGCTATGTCGTGATTGCCTGGGGGATCGGGAGCTGGAATGGGAAGTGAGGTGCTTAACCCTGTGTAGTGTTCCTCAGGATGCTGTCACAGGAAGTGCAATGGGAGGGCTCTATTGTGCTCAGC